GAGAGCGTAAAACAAAATTTTTGCGTGTGTGTGTGTGTCTGCCTGTCTGCCTCTGTGTGTGTGTGTGTGTGTGTGTCTGCCTCTGTGTGTGTGTGTGTGTGTCTGCCTGTCTGCCTGTCTGTGTGTCCGCATTTCTGCGTGTAATATGAGTGCTGCTACCTCACCTTCATCCGCAAGCCCCCCCCCCCCCTCTTCTTGCCCTTCCTCGCCCTCATCGCAATATCGTCTCATTGCCTCCCTCCCCTTCCTCATACCCCACCACTTCTTCCGCCTCGCAGGCCCTCAAATCAGAGTTGGAAGCGTTTGAGAAGGAGCACAAGCACGTGATTGCTGGCGCTTCGTTGCATCAGACCATCTAAATCCCACTGTCGTCCTCCTCCTCTTCTCCCAACACACACACACACACACACACACACACACACACACACGATGCCTTTCTTCTTTGTGTTTCTCTTCCCTGTCCTTTCCCTTCTTCCCTTCTTCCCTACTTCCCGTTCCTTAGACGCCCCACCCTTCTTCCCCACTGAACACTTTGCCCTTTGTTTCCATGTCCATAGCCAACCGTTGTTCTCTCTCACATGCCTGCGCGCATGCATGCATGCATGCAATGTACATAGGAGCTGTTGCTGTCTGTGCTCGTGTCCCTCATGTGCACGTGCGCACACATACCGTAAACGTAGCCCACTTGCATTGTTTTGTATTGGATGGCTGGCACACACCACGTCACACCACAATCAAGCTGCACGCATGACGTGTCACCACATGCGTCCAGGACGCAAGCCCTCGCAACATTAACACAACATCACGAACATCACGACCCAAAAACACAACCACAACCAAGACAGCCAAGCACGCATGGCCCGTGCGTTGTAACGGAACATCTCGCCAGCCCGAGGCATCGTGATAACGATGTGCAACACAACAGGCGGTGCACAAACTTTGCGACATGCAAACAAACACAAACACGCGCGCGTACACATGCACATGCACAAGTGCAGTGCTCAAACACTTCCATCCAGATACGAAAGCAACCACGAAACACGACACGCATGCGCACGTACACAACGCCTTCAGAACACCTGCAGCACCAACTTTATTCGGCTCCGGCTGACGGTCAGATCACTCCACAGCCATGTCATCGTCAGCACATTACTCCTCCTCCTCCTCCTCCTCCTCCCCATCATCATCACCGTCATCGGTGTTGTCGTGGAGGAAGAAGGCGGCGGCGATGTCGTCGTCATCGAGAGACGCGGCATCGTCGCCGGTAAAGGCCGCCAGGAGAAGCGCAGCGGAGGTGGTGGAGGTGGGCGAGAGCGCAAAGCCCATGCGCGTCAGCATGGGGATGCCTTGGAACATGTGGAAGATGGTAGCGCCGATGTGGAGGGCCAGCACATACTCGAGCACCTGGCCCATCTTCTTGTGCACCTTGAAGGCGGTGCCGGCCACCTTCTTGTTGGGCGTGTCCGTGCCGGGGATGTGGGCGCCGTAGAAGGGGAGGCCCTTGCCGCCAAAGTATCCCATGGTGATGCCGGTCACTGGCATGCCAATCATTGCCACGTACATGAGGAAGTGGCTGAAGGATCCGGCAAGCTGCTCAAACTTGGAGGTGCCCGGCAGGGCCTTTGGCATCTTGGATGCGAGGCGAATGGCCACGCGCGGCACGACGAGCGCGGCCACGAGCAGCGCCGTGGACTTGTGGATCATCATGTACTGGCCCTTCTTCTTCTTGTCCTCGGTCCACTGGGCCATCTTCACCGTGGCGACGCACGTCAGCATCCCCGCGCCGACGAGCCAGTGCAGCGCCTGCATCCGCCGGCTGTACACCTCAACCGCCTGCGTGGCCGTTGCAGCGCCGGTCGCTGTCCCTGCAGTGGAAGCGGCTTGCCCAGCGGTGGTTGCCTCGCCCGCACCGTTGGCCATCCGCCTTCCGCTCAGGGAAAGGAACCGCCGAGGCGCTGCCGCTCCGCGCATGGCCACGGGCACAACTGCCCGGCGCGTCAGCATCGCACCAATCGATCGCAGCATCATCATCATGGAAGGAGGAGCAGCAGAAGCAGTGGTTGTTGTTGGTTGTTGTTTGTGTTTGTGTTTGCGTTTGAAGGAAGAAGTGCCGAATGTTTGTGAATATCTTCTACCAATGCTCGAGCCTCATCTCGCGTCATCCGTGTGTTGTCGCCAACACACACACACACACACACACACACACACTCTCTCTCTCTCTCTCTCTCTCTCTCTCTCTCTCTCTCTCTCTCACTCACACACAAGTGCCTCCCAGTTCTACAGTTGGCGAGTCGTTTATGAATTGATTGTACAGGCTTTGTCAACATGAAAACAACCAAAGTGAAACAGTCGATCAAAGCCCGCCCTCGCCTCTGTCGTCGTCGTCGTCGTTGCCCCATCCAAACGTCTCCTCACACAGCCCCAACGCCTCCTTTTCCACCATGCCCTCCTCCTCCTCCTCCTCGTGCTGCTGCTGCCGCTCCAGTGCGAGGTCATCGAATGCAGCAGCAACCCCATTGGGTGCCACATCCTTCAACACCTCCACCGTGGCCCGACGGCTGCCCTTCTTGCTGGTCCGCACACGCCACCACGGCACCCGTTGTCGTTGCACAGACGCTGGTGATGCTGCTGCTGTCATTGTCGCACTTGTTGCTGCTGTTGGTGTTGATTGAGCGGGAATGATAGAAGCCCCCCTGTCCGTCCGTGGAGCACGTGCTGTTGTTGGCGCTGTCGTTGTCGCGAGTGTGGTGTGCTGGCCACAAGCATCGTGCGCCACCCACGCTGCCATAAGCGGTCGTTCGCACATGTCAATATCGCCGGCAATGCTGCGCGCATCTGGTGCCGCTGTTGGGGTCGATGTACCCGTGGTGGTCGCAGTCGTCAGCGGTGTTGGGCTGGGTGATGATGACGATGATGATGACAATGACGATGATGATGACGGTGGGTCAAGTGCTGAAGATGGTAGCCTTGCTGCAGCAATCGCAGTCGTGACAGTTGTTGCCGGCGCCACAAGCACATCACGCGCGTGCACGCCAACACCGACGCCACCATTGTCAGTGGCAGTTGCGAGGTCAAGTGTTCCTGCGCTGACGACGGCAGGGAGGATGGCTGTCTTGGCATGGCGCGCACCACGACGGTGACGGTAAAGACACGGGAGCACAGTCGACCAATCACGCACGCCCATCAGCAGCACGCCGAGCACGGACGCTGCGACACCGCCCAGCTTCCACGCATCGACGGCCTCCCCAAGAAAGCCCATGCCCACGACGACCGGCAGCATGACATACAAGCTGCTGATGGGAGCAACCACCGCCGCTTCCTGTGGCATTGCGCGCGCGAGAAGAAAGAAAGTGACAGAGCCGATGCCACGACACATGCCGCCGCCATACACGATGGCGTGGGAGGCGGAGAAGTGGAAGTCGGGTAAGGGGAAGCCAGCGGCAAAGGCAACGACAAGCGCAGCCGTGACAACGCCGCCAACAAAGCCCAGGTACCCTGCCGCGTACTCGTGTCGCTCCTTGAGCGAGAACACCTGGTACAGCAGCGTGCACACGCCCCACGCCACCACCGCCAGGACAAAGAGGAGGATGGTGCGTCCGCTAAACTGGAGGCTGCCACCGGTGCTCATGGCAAACAGGACAGCGGACAGCAGCGCCAGCACGACGCCAAGGGTACGGGGCACGTTGAGACGATCACCAAGGCCAAGCACGCCGTACGCGAGTGGGATGATGATGAAAAGCGCTGTGAGCGGAGACAGCACGGACGCCTCGCCGCCATCGCTCGTCATGACCAGGTACAGCGCCAGGCCAGTCAGGCTGAGCACGCCAGAGAGGAAGCCTTGCACGGGGGTGACCCAACGCGGTTTGGGGGTGGCACTGCGACACAGGTATGCCATCTGGTACGCAACGTACGCGGACTGGGCCGTCACGCTCCCCATGATGACAAACAGGACGTAGGTGGAGAGGGCAAAGGTGGTCGTGTCGCCATACAACACCACCTGCATGCGGAACAGCACCTGCGCGCCGCCAATCATCAGCATGTACAGCAGCAGGGCCGCCCACACCACCGCTCGTTTCGTCGGTGTCGTCGTCACCGCCGCCGCTGCTATGGCGTCTGCAGCGGCGGGGGTGATGAGGGTGTACGATGTGTCGTGTGCAGCACCAGCGGTAGCAGCGATAGGCGCGGCGGCTGTGGTTGCTGTTGTGCCCGTGGATGGGTCAATGACGAGGATGCTGCTTGGGTGCTCACATGTCGTCGACGGCTCCAGTGGGGGCAGCGGTGGCAGCAGCGGCTGGTCTGCATCGGCTGTGACACAGGGCCTCGTGTCCACCGGTGTGACTGTGCTCACTGCTGTCGTGGTCGTCATCGCGGCTGCTGGCAGAGGACACAGGCGCTGCAGCACGTGCTCTGGCGACGATGCCTCATCGGGGGCCCCAATGGCTGAGGTTATGGCACTGGACTTCGGGACATGCACCAGCACTACGATGGCGTCGCTTCTGGTGGTGGGAGAGCATGGTGTGGCCGTGTCGGTTGCGGTGGACGCGGGGATGATGTCGATAACGGCAAACTCATCAGGCTGCGATGTAAGAAGCGTCGTCGTCGTCGTCGTCGTCGTCGTCGCGGTCGTTGTGACAGTAGCACTGACAGCAGCTGTGGTACTGGATGAGGACGTGGGCGTGGAAGAATCCGGTGCAGCCGACACTGCCAGGAGCGGCGACCCGGCATCGTGGCCAAGGGATACGGCACCAACTGCCATGATTGTGCGTGTGTGTGTGTGTGTGTGTGTGTGTGTGTGTGTGTGTGTGTGTGTGTGTGTGTGTGTGTGTGTGTGTGTGTGTGTGTGTGTGTGTGTGTGTGTGTGTGTGTGTGTGTGTGTGTGTGTGTGTGTGTGTGTGTGTGTGTGTGTGTTGGGGGGAGGGAGAATGAGTATATTGGGCAACAGGAATGCCGCTCATGAAGCAGAGACGTGCTCTTCCCCTGACTTGTTGTGTAATGTAACCTCATTCACACACGCAGGGCGAGAGACATAGAGAGAGATATGGATGAGAGGAGAGCGTGCATAAACAAGCACACACGCATACGCACACGCACACGCACACGCACACGCACGCGCACACGTGCGCACGCCTACCTCAGTTGCTCAATTTCGAAGGTGGTGGCAGTCATCTCAAGCTAGTGTGTGTGTGTGTGTGTGTGCATATGATGCCCTGTGTTGGGTTGCGTTCTCGCACATCTTAGGCGAGGGCACATTAGGAAGCGCACTCTTGTGCTTACCTTGTGCTGTGTGGAGTTGTTGTGGGAGATAGAAAAGAGCGCCACACACACACATACACACACGCTGTAAGCGTGCACTCTCCCACGAAACCCGGACAACGATCCACCAGCAGTGCGATGTCAGTCAACACATGTGACGTTGCGCACTCGACGCAGCTTGTGAAGGGTTTCCTTGGGCCAGGTGCGTGGTGCACATTGTGTGCGACGTACGTCATCATGTCACGTCCGCATGACAGCCCGCAGCCACAGCCAAGACGTGTGTTGACACATGGTGTGTGGTGTGAGGTTGCGATGTGCAGTGTGCGAGTTTCGCAACGAGCGCGATGGCGAACGGTTTCCGACAGCATAAAATATACAACGCAAGTTTGGACAAATTGTAGATATCTTCATATGTTTTTCGCAGAGTCGGAGGCTGTGGATTGAGACGACTCGGATGGCGCGACAACAGGCGACCGTGTGATGATGTGATGATGTGATGACATGATGTGACGCCGGGGTGATGAGTGCGTGTTTGCTTGCATCTTTGCATGGCTTACTGTGTGGGCAAGGGGAGAACGGTGAGACACCTGAAGGGCAGGCAAACGACGTCACGATGAACGCCGCAGTCAAATTGTAACGTAACAAAGCTAACAACTTAGGAACAGGGAACAGAAGAACGGAGAATGACAGGGGGATAAAGGAGGGCACAAGGAAAGAAAGAACGAAGGCAGGAAAGAAGGACGGTCTTTGCCGAGCAGCAAATCACGTCACAAAGAACGCAGCGTGTCGATGCAGCTTTCTGTCAGAGATTCACGGTTCCCCTTCCAGCATCTCCAACAGACGTTTCCTGACTTGATAGAACTGTGGCCGTGCATATGGATCTTGATTCCAACACTGTTGCATCAGCTGACGTCGACCGGGGGAAAGGACGTGGGGTGTCAGCGAGGGTGTTAGAGCACGAGCAAGCAGTGAGTGAGTGTGTGTGTGTGTGTGTGTGCGTGCGTGCGTGTGTGTGTGTGTGTGTGTGTGTGTGTGCGTGTGTGTGTGTGTGTGTGTGTGTGTGTGTGTGCGTGCGTGCGTGCGTGTGTGTGTGGGTGTGTGTGTGTGTGTGTGTGTGTGTGCGTGTGTGTGTGTGTGGGTGGGTGTGAGAGAGTAAGCAACATAAGAACATAAAAAAGTTGGTGCCATCAGATCAGTTCAAAAGCAACAAAGATATCTCCACAGGTACACGCGTACGAATGTCATTTCATGCACCTTTCCACGGCTTACCAGGCCAAACTTGACTGGGCAGTTTGAGGGGAGGGCGGGGCGCTGTCCGCGCAGCACAGCACCCTTCACCTGCGCGTAACTCTTCAGCTCCTTGAAGGGCTCTTCTCGTGATGCAATCTGATGTGTGGATGTTGGGGTTGGGAGTGGGGCGAAAGAGCTGAGCTTGCATCATGAAGAAAAGGAAGAGCAAACACACGTTCACGCGTTCGTAGTTGCACACACACACACACACACACACACACACACACACACACACACACACACACACACACACACACACACACACACACACACACACACACACACACACAC